ATAGTTACAAGAATAATTAATTAATTAAAAACTCTATAGTAGCTTATACGTTAAATTACTTTTTATAAGTTCTCAAAGGTTATCTTGATATTTAAAACATTTCAGTTTGAAAAAAAATGATAATGAGGCAAATATGATAGGAATTTGCGAAAATAATGCAATGGGTGTGACATTACCTGTAAACTCGGAATTGCTGAAATAAAATAATGCTACGTTTCGAATTAAATTTGAATAATCTTGCAAAGTACTTAATTACTAATTCCAGTGCAAAAGAAATGATTGCAATTGCGTAACCAATTCCAAGTAGAATGAACATACTCATCACGTCTTCCACTAAAAGTGGTTGAGTGGGATCTTTTAGAGTGACTTTTGATGAGATCCAAGCGTCCTTTTTAATTTTCATAAACACTCCAGTATCAATCATTCTTCGTATCCTAGAAAAATATAGTCAATTATAAAACAATGTGATTTTTTTAACACATCAATGACGAGGCAATATATTATGAAAACGTTGAATTACCTCAAATTAGTAGTACTTATAATTACCTAAATTGAAAGAATAGCACTTAATATAACATATCGTATCTATTTAATTTACAATGAAATATCACATTTCTGCATTTTCCAAACATTTAAAAAGACAGATGTCAAATTACTCACTCTTATTTTAAATAATTTACACAGAGATTTAAAATTAGCTATTACTTGTATATAGAAATGTTTAAAAATAAGTACAGAGTTATAATAATTAAACAGACACTAGCGAAATCCCGCTTGGACCGTTTTAATGGACACTGTTTTATGTTCATGAAACGTGAGGGATATGCTATTCATTCAATACGAAACAAATATTTACATTTACAACTACAAATACGTTTATTCTATATATTTTGAGTAAAAATAACTTCCTTAATTAATCAAGATGTATATTTTTTCCATTATCAATTCAAATATTTTTTGTGTTTCAATGTCGAATTACAATTTCATCCATTTATTACTTTAANGGGGAGATAAAGAGGTCGTGTGTCTTATCTCAAATAGGGTCCGACTTAATGATGATTTTACTCGTTATTAGCATTTACAAGTTTTTTTTTTATATAAAACTCATCCTACTCTGAAAATTAAGGTTTTGTCATTTTGTAATAATTAATAATAAAAGAGTTTTTAAATAAAATTTCATAACAGATGGCGCCACACACGATTTTACCTTTATTGCCGTGAAAGTTACTATCTCGTTACTGGATATTTTTGTTTCTTTCGAAATACAGTACATGATTTCCTGATTTATGTGGTATCGAAGCAAATGAGTGAGATCGTTCTATACCTATTTGTGTCCCTTGTGTTAAAAAACTTAAGCTTTGACATCCTCGCGTTTCTTTATGCAGCGCTCGAGAAGTGTTTTACAGCGAACACACTGAAACTGGTTTCTAATTGGCCAATACTGCTCGTGACGTCATTTCGCTACACTCTCGCTTCATAAAGAAAGCGGAGCATCTGTCCTATCAGAGCCGGATTTACAAGTAAAAAGCTATGTAAGTTGTTGCTTAGTTCCTCGACTTTCAAGGGGCCTTAAGTTTTAAACATTTGTACAAGAAAGAAAATTGAAGTCAAATTTTGTAATAAACATTTTCTACAAACCAACAAAATATACTTTACTTTTTATTTTGTGTACTTTTTTCATTAACTTTTTTTCCTAAGAATTAACGTAAGATCTTTTTTTAAAAAAATCGATAAAACCAATTTAAAAATAGATTTTTAATGGATTGGGTCTAAAAATTTAATTAAATTCAGTTATAAAACATAAGATTAGTGAAACCTCACGTCTTTTTCCTTCCAATATCCGTATTAAATCAGAGACATAGTCTAATTTAATTCTTTTCTTCTTATGATTGACATCTAAAATTGTGAAGGATTGGTAAGGGGCCTTGCATAATTCAGCTTAGGGCTTCGAAATGTTTAAATTCGATCCTGTGTCCCACACAAAATTACTGTCATTTTAAACTTTAAAATATGTTTTAAAATTGACAGCAGTTCATGTAATGCTGGACATTTTTCAGAATGTAAAGCTCCACTCTTTCAGAATTCGGAGCTCATAAATATAACCGACCGATTTCCGAATAATCAACTGTTTTTCGTGTGGGAATAGACGAAAATTTATATTAGGCTCCCGTAAGTCTCAGAAATTGCAATTTGGAACGTAACAGAAAGCTTTGATTTTTCTACTGCTATTCATCTTTACTGCTGATAATATACAAGAATGAATCAAACGAACGATAGAATAGTTTTGTTTTTACACACCAGAGAGCGAGCACCTATCTGAGAATATTTGCTAACCGTACCTAATTTTTTTAATATTCTCTAGTCTTCTCATTACGTAAGAAATATGTTTTAGATGAAATTTTCATGTATTAAATCTTAATTTAATCATGAATTTATCCGCCAATTGTCACGAATAAGAGAATCTGATAGAGATGCGAGTTAAACGTCATGTGATATATACACGAGCGAGGTAGCGTTGCCATTCCTAGTACTAAAGTGACCCACTTTTTTACAATGAAAGGGAGGACACTAATAAATTGAAGGAAAATTTTGTAAATAAAAAACATTTTATTCATTGCAACAATAATACACTATAATAATCTCTACTGCATGCATAAGTGCCATGTCGTGTTTCCATAAGAAGTAAACAAAACCATTTGCGCGCTCTCTCTCTCTCTGGCAAGTTCTCATAGCATGCGTCTCATAATTGCATCTCGTCGCACTATACAGAGCCTTGATGAATCGTCATGTTAAATACAAACACGTCATATCACATCACGTTCTGCATTTTTTTAATATACTCTTTCCGTCCTGTGGGGACTAAGAGGCAGCAGACTTATAGCAGGCCAATTATGGGTTCGGGCAGGTCCACAATGGGGCGGCCGGGTGGTGAGAGACGGGGCCCGACATTCATTCATTCATTCCTTAGTTTGATTGTACATTTAAAACAAGGTACAAAGTCCTGCCCCGCAATGAGCATTACAGGAGTATATCCGTTACATAGTTCCACCGAGTTACAGTATGCACTAATGAACAAAGCAAAGTGAAAAGAAAAGTAAAAAAAAATAAATAAAAACACAATGACAATAAAAGACCCAAACAAAATATGCAGCAGCTTGCTGCAGCAAATAACAGATTACTTATCTGCAGGAATATTTTCGCAAAAGAAGGTCGTATTAATTCTGATAATCCGACATATCCGAACGGACAACCCACCCAAAAATTCCTGGGGAGTTTTCGACCCGTTTGGATTCGAGCCCGGGTTCCCCAGTGCGGTGGGCTGCCACCTTGACCGCTAGGCCTTCCGGCCCATACATATAGTGTATGTCGGTGGATGTCAACAACATACAAATAGTTGCAAATATCTTGACTCAGTGGTCTTCTTTCACACATGTGTTACAGGTTTCAGTCGTCTGCACATTCTCATGAGGACCTTGACAAAATTTTTCACGCCACGTGGTACAAACAATTCAACTCTGTCAAACAAAAATAATAGACATGTAAGGAAATCAATGGTAAAGTTTATTTAGGTAAAATGGCGGCGCTTCGGTTTGGTTAGGTTAGATTAGATTTGTAACTATATTTTTAGTAGACGTTTCCTTTTTTTTCTTTTGTTCAAGAACTTCCGTGAATCAATAACTAGTGATGATATAAACTCGGTGGTTGCCGGTGGCTCCTTTCCGGGAGAAGTCCGTCTGGAGCACGAACGGTCGAAAGCGCGACCATTTTGGACTACCTAAGTAAACTTTAGAAAAATAGTTTTGAAATTGTACGACTATAAATAATATAAATACTTTTTTTTATACTCTGTACACCCTATGGGTACTAAGAGAGCCTCTTTCAGCAGGCCCATTATGGTTCGGCCAGGCCCACAATGGGGCGACCGGGTAGTGAGGACGGGATCGGACATATTCGAACGGACCCCCCGAAAAATTTCTGGAGATATCTTGACCCGTCCGGATACGATCCCAGATCCCCCAGAGCGGTAGGCTTCCACCTTGACTGCTCGGCCATCCGGCCTATATAAATACTTTTATGTTAGAGACGTTGCGACCGAAGTTTTCAACGCAAAAACGTGTACGTCGGACGTTCAGCGCAGCTTCTTGTAAGCCTAGAAATTTGACAATGGCGTTTAAAACGTCAGTGGAATCATGCTCGACGTTTCAAACCCCATTGTCAAACTTCTGGACTTACAGGAAGGCGGCGCTAAACGTTCGACGTACACGTTTGAAAACATCGGCCGCAATCTCTCTATTATTTTCTACCACCATAATTTAATTCTTAAATTATGAACTTCAATTTAATAATCTTAGTAAAAGAAATAACTTTTGTTAATTTGAATCTGTCCACGCATATTTAATTTAGGTTAATCTTTACCTACGTGTACCGTCATGGCCGCACTTCCGGAATCTCGATAGCATTTGCAATTAATTCTAATAACTCTAATAACTATTCTAATAAATTACCAATAATTTGGTAATTTATTAGAATAGGTTAGGTTAGGTTAGAACATGCATCTTCGGGCCCGCGAAAATTAAAAATTTGCATTTGTAATCTCAAATGCTATCGAGATTGCGAAAGTGCAGCCATGAAGGTGCACGTAGGTAAAGATTAACCTTAATTTATAATTTATTTTTATCCATCACTATTATATTTTTTAAAAAAGCAACTTTTAATGCTGTACTTAATAAAAAACCGTACAAACTATTTTTATAAAATTTTTTAATGAAATATTTAATTTTAAATATTTTATTTTATATTTAAATATTAGCGTTTTCAAGTCAGACCTTGATTGTATTTACATTTCGATAACAAAGCATTTGATTTCGATCTCACAAAGATTTAAAGAATTTCGATCATTAAAAAAACGTTAAAAAACACTCATGATGGTATATTAACAAAAACAACGAACTAAGAAACAGTACAGTTTTTGAAGGAGCTTCAATACGTTTTGAAATTTCACTGGCAACACTGCAGCGAGGTAGACACGTGACTCAAGCACTCAAGCACATTGCGGTTACTGTAACTGTCGTATTCCGTTTTGAGACAGCATTCGATTTAATTGTTTTATTTGTTTTTTTAACGTATTGAAAAAAGACCACGTTTATCGGCAACACTGCCGCAATGGATCAAGATCAAAATCCAAGATGCCCGTTAACTGAGGTAACCGTTCGTACATTGTAGTGTAGTCTTAAACAAATTACTGAATAATTCATTTATTCATTCAGTTTTACAGGTGTATTTTAATTGTAAGTATTCACGTGCTTGTATTCACATATTAAATACGAGTCTATATCAACTTGTTTGATTGACAGTGATCGTGTAATTGACCATTCGGTTAAATTTATTTTAGGTAGCCAAAATGACGGCGCTTCGGTTAGGTTCGTTTCGTTTCCGTTAGATTAGCTACATTTTTAGTAGACGTTTCCTTTTATTTATTTGTTATTTTGATCGTATAACTTTACATTATTTCGGATTTTTGAGATCACTGCTCACATAGCCTTTCGTCGCTTCGTAACTTTTGAAACATTGATAAACAATTTTTAACTTACACACGTGGTCTGGTGTATGTCCCAATCTTTATTGGTTAATGTCGAGATACGTGGACCATCATGGCGGCACTTCCTGTTTCAGCCTCGAAACCAGACGGTTTGCAGACGACGTGTCACGTGACGCACCGACGCACGTTCTAACCTAACCTAACCTATTCTAATAAATTAGCATAATTATTACCAATTATATTTATTAGAATAGGTTAGGTTAGGTTAGAACGTGTGTCCCCACTGTTTAATTTTCTTTGCTGGAATCAGCAATGATGCGCCATGACAGCCGCCGACGCACGTTCTAACCTAACCTAACCTATTCTAATAAATTAGCATAATTATTACCAATTATATTATTAGAATAGGTTAGATTAGGTTAGAATGTGCGTCCCCACTGTTTCCTTTGCTGGAATCAGCGATGAGGCGCTATGACAGCCGCCGACGCTGCCGCGGCGCAGCAGCCTCCGCCGTTCGCTCGCGTCGTCACGTGACACGTCGTCTGCAAACCGTCTGGTTTCGAGGCTGAAACAGGAAGTGCCGCCATGATGGTCCACGTATCTGGACATTAACCCTTTATTTTGTCTACTTTTAGGAATTAGGCGAATCATCTGTTCTATTCTGAGATCAGTGTTCTATCTTTTTCTATATCCTATAATTATTTTCATTTACTGAATATATGGCTAAATTGTTCTTATACTTTCATTTGATATTGCATCCAATACATTGTTTAGTCCCCAATCTTAAATTTACTATTTATTTACAAAATGTTTGATTTATAATTGTAGTTTTGTGTTCTTATTACTAAAATGATTTTTTTGGCTTTATCAAAATCCATACCATGTGTGATGAGCAGTTTATGAACAGAGAGCAACTACAATCGTATTACATCATCTGATATTTGCTGAGAGAATATTTGGTTACTGAAAATTCTTTATTCAGCAAATGTTTTCTACCTATTACAATAGGCTGAACTTCAGGTTTTGAACCAAGTTTAGGAAATTGTTCCAAAATTGACTTAAAGCTTATCTTGCCTATTGCTACCTAGTTTTTGTTTTTCTTTGTTTAGACTAGTGGTGACAAAACTATGATCATCTGGCCAAGTCCAGCCAACAATCTATGTTACTTATAATTTATAGGAATAGACCTTCTTTTGGTATATATGGAATAAACAAAATTTTTATGTTCTACTTTTATGTCTTGGTGTAATTTTGGTATCTATTAAAAAGTTTGGGCACCATTGATCTAGTCTTTTTTATCATTATAGTGCTCTTCACTTATAAATTCAGAACTTTTGTTTGGGTTGCAATTTTCAAATTGCAGACATAAATTCCCACTGGTGTCTCTGTCTGTCTGACTGTCTGGTTTTGTATACTCGCGTTTCTTTATGCAGCGCTCGAGAAGCGCTTTACAGCGAACACACTGAAACTGGTTTCTAATTGGCCAACACAGCTCGTGACGTCATTTCGCTACACTCTCGCTGCATAAAGAAACGTGGTCTATTTTAGCTTTTATAGGGGCTGTTTGTTTTCAACAGAGACAGTAATCTCTGAAAGTATGTAATAGCAATAAAATGTATAAATAAATAAATATCAGAAAGTACATGTCATTAGCATTGAAATTTTGCACTTTTTGTATTTTAGAGCCAAAGTTATCAATACAATATGGTCAGATATTGCAGTGCATTTGGATGCAATAACATGTGGAAGCCTGACAGTATACTGTCATGGCACAAGTGAGTTATCTACTTCCTTACATCACAAAAATTTGTCTTCTTGATGTTTCTTTTCATACTCTGACATATGATTTATCAGGTTTCCCAAGGATAAGGAAATGCGTAGGAAGTGGGTCAATAAAATGAAAAGGGAAAATTTTGAGCCAACAGAAGCAAGTGTACTCTGTTCTGATCATTTTACAAAGGACTGTTTCTATACAAGAGGCCAAGAAAATAGCAAAATTAGGCTAAGAAGTGGTTCTATTCCTACTATCTTCAGTTTTTCTGACAGCATTCAGCCTGATAACATAAACAAGGAACATAGAGAGATCCAGTATATAAATAAAGTAAATATAAATGAAAAGTTAGATGACAGGGTGAATGTAAATGAAACACTAGAAAACAGTAATGTACTGATTAATAATGAATCTGGATATGAAAATTCAATTCAGAAGAGAGATGAGTTACAAATTCAGAAAATTTGTAATTTATCTCTCATTGAGCATGATTATGCAATTAAGATTAGTCCTCGTAAAATGAAAAGAAAACTGGATGCTGCAAACGACAGATGTGATCATTATAAAAGACAGCTGAAAAAATGTAAAGCACGGTTAGCAGCTGCCAAAGATGAGATCAGAACACTCTCAGAAATATTAGAAATTGTAAAAGATAACTTTTTACTTACAGCTGATGAATAAAACAGTTGAGAAATCTTATTTTTTTCGGTAAGCCACTTTCCAATTAATTAGTATAACTAATTAGAGTTAAAACTTAATTGACCTGAAAAAAAGATTGAAACTACTTGGGTTTTCAAATTTCCCATTTAAATTAACTGATCTCTTGTAAATATTTTAATACCTAAACAACATAACCATAAACCAATTATAAAGTACTGTACATATTCATATTTAAGAAATTCAAATATAATAAACTGTTGCTTGCAATTTTCCTGGAAAAAAGTTTGAGAGCAGGATCAAATAAAAATTATAACAAAAACAAAACATAGTTGAAAAACAATGTTTAATACTTAGTTTGTTTATCATTAACCTGAATAATATCAATCAATGGACTGGTCATAGAATTAGCAAGAGTTGTTAGCCTTTCAGGACCATTTTTATCCCAAGCAAGCAGAATTGCTTTTTTAAGATCAGAAACATAATTAAATTTTTTTTCATTGGTAAAAACCACTCTTACTAAATCATCCCGAAGGTTTTGTATTGAGTTTAAATCATGGCTACATGGTGACCATGACAAAACATTGAAATTATTGTCAGACAACCATGTCTCTGTTGAGATAGCATTACGAATAGGAGCATTATCCTGTTGGAAAATGAAATGTTTGTCCATTGTTTCATCTTTTAATGGTAGAAGATAATTTCTCAACACATCTGCATAGTCAACTGCCTTTGAACAAGGTAAAATGAAAGCAATAGCTGAATTTAACTGATGAGTGTAAACTGCACACCATCACAGATAGATACTCCATCTTGAAGATGAGTGACATATGCCAATAGTGTTGCACATCATCAGGGCCATACAGGTTAAATTCTTTTCACTAAAAGCTGCATGATTCCATAAATCTGAATGGCCAACATAACATATTGCAAAGTCCAGCCATCTTTCCATATGGGAGATTGTTGATTTTGGTCATGCCAGCATTTTAATGTATGTATGATTTGCAGACATTTTTCTTGGTGTTGCAGGCAGTTGTAGTGAGCTTTAATCTGACTGGATGGCATACCAGATGATGTAGCTGTTCTCAGTATTGTCCTGTCATCTCTGGCAGAAAGTTTTTTTTTGGCCTACCACAACATTTAGCTTTGTCATAATTGTCAGGTCCTTTAAGTAATTGTTAACTACTGTCTTTGATTTTCCTAGTACCCTGCAGAGACATATTTTTATTTCCACAGATTCTGAATGCATGAATCTTGCCTTTTTCTTCATCTGTTAATGTTTTACCAGATCCCATTTTTACTGAAGATTGAAAACACACAACATGGATGTATGCAAATTAGGTTACAATGTCTGTTATATTTTAGAATGTTTGTAAATATGAATTTTTTAATCCTGGCAATTTTTTCCCAGGCAAATTGCAAGCAATAATTTGTTGTATTTGAATTTATTAAATATAGTAGAGCATTGATTATCCGAAACAATTTGAGACTGGGGTTGTTCGGATAACTGATCATTTACGAAAAAATATATTAAACACAAAACTATACTGTATCACACATCTTACAAATACATACCTTACATAATGTAGTACATTAAATTAGGCCTACAGTTTAGGTTGGCAGGGAGGGGGGAGAGTGCTGCAATGCCACAGTACTAGCAGAAATTTGAATTTTCCAACAGGAATGCTTTTAGTTAACCAACATTTTGGTTGATTGCATTTGGATAATCAATGCTCTACTGTATGAAAATAAGTTTTTACTTCATATTTGGTTTATGGTTATTTTAATACTTAAACAGCAGATGATCAGTTAATTTTAATGGAAAGTCTGAAAACCCAAGTGGTCTCAAATTTTTTTCCATGACTGTATTAAATTGAAAATATATCTGAATTTAGTTACATGAGAGGTAACTAGTTATAAGTAAGATTGTTACTACATTATAGGTTTATTAAAAAATTCCTGTGAAGTGCCTTCATTTCATAATTCATCTGGTAAGTTAATATATTTTTAAAAAATCCAGCAACGAGTTTCTTAATCTTTCCTGGCAACATTTAAAACTGTACATATGGTGCCATTTGTTATGATATTTTATAATAAAAAATTATTATATTTCTAATTATTACAAAATGGCAAAAAACTTAATTTTGACAGTAGGGATGGGTTTTGTAAAAAATTGTAAATGCTAACAAAGAAGTAGCAGTTTCCAAATTTTTTTTTTATTAATGTAACTTTGAAGACTTATCAATAAAAGATGATTTTATTATCAATCTTTTATTCACTTTTCAATTATAATAGATAATAGACATATCGATGATGAAGATTTAGTTATCTAAATATATAAAATTGCTTGTCTTGACTGACTGAATGTCTCACTCATTCACTCAGTGATTCATCATTGCCCAGAGCAAACTGCTTAACCTAAAGAGGTGAAATTTGGTAGTCAGTTAGGGTACGTCATGGAAATGCACACTAAGAAGGGATTTTTTGAAATTCCCCTGCAGGGGAGAGAGGGAGAGGATTAAGGCTTATCTGGAAGAACAGCTTCTGCTGTACTATTATAGATGCGATTTTTTTTTGTTTTTATCTGCATTTTAGTAGGGTATGCCATGGCAATGTACACTAAGAAGGGATTTTTCGAAATTCCCTTGCGGATGGGAGAGGGGAGGATTTAGTCTTCATCAAGTACTTAGGTGTATTAAATTAATAACATTTCAGACATTGTTATAAATATTTTTATCTATTTCGATTTTAAAAATGTTTGAACCGATTTAAATTCGAATTTGTTATTGCATATTGGTTCGATTATAGAACGATTGTAAACGTTCCAGAAAATTGATCAAATTGAAAATAGTTCGTTTGATTCTCGGCAATTCTAATCATTCTCAACGGTAGGTGTTATATAACAATTACTATGGTTGTTGAAATACTGAATATAAATGGGGTTTGCTTGTAAAAGCCACGGGTAACAGCTAGTCTCATAATATCAAGTCAGTCTAAAAGTTCATGCACATTAGTAGCATGTGTGGGATTCGCGATGACTCATTACTAGATCAATAGGATTCCGAACCTGTTGAAACTTGTCATCGCTTGACTGATGTATTCGTCAGTTTATCACCAAATTTTGTAAAGATCAGATGCATATTAGTACCAATAAAAAATGAATATTGATAATGCATATAAACGTGCTGTGTTATATTTTTTTTTCGAGTGGTGAAACTGCCAGATCTGCAGCAATAAAAATTAATAGTGTACATGGTGCACATACTATTAGTGTAAGGACTGCCTAGAAATAGTTTAAAAAATTTAAACTTGGAAAAAGCAACATTAATGATGAACCCAGTTCAGGACGTCCTGTCGATTTTGATAATGACGTTCTTAAAAATCTTGTGGAGTCAGAGCCACATTTAACAGTGGATCAGATCGCAGAAAAGATGCATTCATCTCATGGGACAGTCTTGCCATTTAAAGGAGATTGGAATAGTATCCAAGCTTGGAAAGTGGGTACCACATGAGCTGTCTGAAGCCAATTGCCAGCAGCGATTAAACATCTGCATTTCCCTTCTATCGTGCTTTGAAAGAGAGCCATTTTTAGATCGCATGGTAACGGGTGACAAAAAATGGATTATTTATGATAACGTCACCAGAAAAAGACAGTGGACAGACAAAGATAAGCAGCCAATTTCAACACCAAAGGCGTCTTTACTTCCCAAAAAAGGTTTTGCTAAGTGTGTGGTGGGATATGTATGGTGTCATTTATTATGAATTGTTAGAACCAAATAAAACCATTAATGCAGATGTATACAGTGAACAACTTTGCCGTTTAAATTCAGAATTGATTAAAAAATGCCCGCGATTGGTGAATATGAAGAAAGTGTTGTTCCACCATGATAACGCTAGACCACATATGGCTTGAACAACGCTGCAAAAAATTAATGAACTGAATTGGGAGCTTTTGCCACATCCTGCATACTCCCCGGATATTGTCCCAAGTGATTTTCAGTTATTTCATGCCTTACAAAATTTTTGCCAAGGCAAAAAGTTTAATTCTAAATAGGATATACAAAATGAACTCAAGTTTTTTTGCTTCAAAACCAGAATCTTTTTACACCAATGGAATAAAAAAGCTACCAGAAAGATGGTGAGATATTGTAGATAGCGGAGGAAAATATATCATAGATTAAAATGTTAAATTGTGTTTTATTTACACCATTTAAAAATTTTGCCAAAATGCGCACAAACTTTTGGACTGACCTGATATAATGATTGGCTAAATTTTGTCTTTAGATACTACATTTTTTACACAATATGTTTTGTAATTAAATTATATGAATTATTTTCAAAGTATTCTAACTGGGTTACATCAATGTAGTATTTTACTTCTGCATCTTTAACAAAAATTTTTTAACCATTACAGTCAATCCCCCTATATAACACCGTTGATTATTCCGTTTATATGAATTCCATGTTGTATGAGCCACTTAGATTTTACAAATACGTAAGCCGCTCACAGCCCGGCATATGTATTTGTAAAATCTAAGTGACTCATACAACATGGAATTCATATAAAATGGAATAATCAACAGTGTTATAGGGGGCCGACTATATTTGTATAAGGATTCATAATGTTTGAAAATGTAAAAAGTAATATGTAATTATAAGTACCAGCTTACAGATCTGAAGGAATTTATCATTTAAATGTACCAGTACTTGCTACTTAATTTTAGCCCTTAAGTACTGATGTCTGGTTCCTTGGATCACATTTAATTTTTTAAAATTCTGTTTTATTTCTTTTTTTGCACACACATAAGATCCAACACTTCAGAAGCTTAAATTTATATCCATATCTTTGACATTCCAGATGAGGACATTTTTACCCTGCTGGATTGGATGTAATGTTACTGAAATTTACTGCACATAGTTATTGTCCAGTTTAAGTATTTGGTGTTGACATTCCATAGAGTTACCTTGGTAAATTGTGTATAAGGAGTATTAATGTTATTAAATTTTGGTGGTTGAAGGTTGAGGGAGTGGAGAGATAGTGTGTGGTCACTTATCATATATCATGAGAAGTCTAACTTAATGATGATTTTACTTATAAGCATTTACAATTTTTTCTATAAAAGTCTCACTAACCTCAAAATTAAGCTTTTGTATTGTTAATTATTGTAAAATGGCAAAAAGTTTTTTATAACAAAATCTCATAACAGATGTTACCCCACACAATTTTATTTATCATTAATAATATAAAAGTTATATTTTAAATAAAATCTCAGAACAGTTGGGAAAGTTATGCAACTCATTGCTAGATTTTTTTATTTTAGAAAATACATAGGATTAGAGAAACCATACTTTCTTTCTTAAACTTGAATGTACTTTTTTTTTAATATTAAAATATGTACAACAAAACAGGAATTTCATGTTGAAATGGATGACATATGTCCTAGAGAATGTAAGTAAATTAAATAAACATGTATTAAATATCTATTGTGTCCATTACTAATAATTTTCCAGTTGCAGTCCGAGACTAGTGTATTGAAAGTTTCACATCATTACTTAAGTACTAATGTACAAAACAATATGGGCTGGCAATGTAGTTTTCCAGGTTTGCTTTATGTATGTTAACACCTAAATAGGGGCTAGTTTCCTGTAGAAAGTTGTCCCAGATGGTGTCTCCCTAGGCAGTTGTCTGTGTTGCATTGCTTTATTCCATTACTCTAATCCAATGCTCTTAAGATGGGTTCAATGCTTCTTGGGTTTACCTTATCATACTTCTTATTTCAAGTAAAATCACCAGGAATTGTTATGGTATTTGATTCTCTCCACTTCATAACTTATAAAACACTTGGAAATGTGAAAATTCATTATCATATAACATTTGGTTATTGGGCTGCAATTTTCAAAAACTGTAGATATATAATTTCTCACTGGCATCCATCTGTCTATCTGACTTTCCTTATTCTCAAGAATAGAGTAAATAGATGAAAGTCAAGACCAGATATGGAAAGCCTAGGGGCAAGAGGCCCTGATTAACTATACACAAATTTCCAATTTTGACTGGAAGTCATATTTATTTCATTTCAAATTTTTCTTCTGATGAAGTTACATAGATGATTGGCATGACTATTTTCTTAATAGGAAACATGATGTACAGAAGCAAGGTACTACTAAGGCTGCGTACACACTAGGCGTTTTTAAACGCACGTTTTAAAGAACCAAGAGTTCTGCATAGGCGTACACACTCAAACGCGCGCTTTTGCCCAAGCGCGCATTAAACACGCATTTATAGATTTTTCTTAAAACGTGCGTTTTGCGGGTGCTTTAGTAGAACTCTTGGTTCTTTAAAATGCACGTTACGCCTAGTGTGTACGCAGCCTAAGATGAGAGCATTGTGAAGAAAAATTGCAGCTCAGCATAATTGCTTGTTTACTATTAATTTGTGTTCTTATATCAATTTTATCATTTTGTTGAGAAGCAGTAAATAAGTAAAAGATGGCTGAAAATGTTTGAACATTAGAATCAGTAAATATTTATTGGTCACATTACTTTCATTTCTCAGAAATACAGATGGTCTAGGTGGCCTCATGTGACTTCCAAAATCTAGTCACTAATTGCTTTTTGCCTTGTCCCCTTGAGATAAGGATATACTGTACATGTGATCTAAAAAATTTGTTCATATAGCTTTTATGATATATGAGAAGCAATTATATATTAAAAATGTATGTGTCCAGTAAAACCTGTTCATTGTGACTATTAAGAAATCTTTTGACCATTTATTAGAAAACTGATCAATGGAAAGTTTTACCAAATTTCAACCAACACTAGTGTGGAGATCCCTGTTACTATGTGCCCTGGGTGGTATGGTTGTCAACAGGTTACTTTTTCACGGGCCAGTTTAAGTTAAATTTGCCAACTCCTGAAGTGTTGATTCTTGACTTTTATTTGACTTTTACTCTCAACAATATCAAAATGCTGCTACCTATTCTTTAGTCTGTCTTAATAGATATAACCTAAATATTAATCATTGTAAATATATATATACGAATTATAAAATAATGGGATCGGTAATAAACTTCTTAAATATATATAAACTCTAAAAATAAAATATTTCCAGAATATTAACAAGTGATAAACTTTATATCCAACTTTGAGTGATTTCTCAAGGAAAACACACCAAATAGCAAACAAATATTAAAGGTTTAGTATTCATTTGCTAGTATTCCATATAAAGAGTTTATTACTGGTTAATATTCTGGAAATATTTTATTTTTAGAGTTAATATGATGATTAATATTTAAATATATATAAAGTAAGTGTGAGAAGAATAAGCTTGTTTTAGAGTTCAAGAATTGGAAAATGTTTGCCAAATTCTGGAAATCTCTCACCAAATCTAGATTGGAACTCTTAGTTTAATTTTTTTACATAACAGGCACATGTTTACTTTTTCCACTTGGGATTATTTTTTATAACCCATTTTTCTGACACTTTTATACTATATTCAAACTCACCAAGTCTTTACATTCAATAAATTCAATTTTACTCAAAACAAAATTTATAAATGTAGAATTTATACATTGAATACAAGCAAATATTTGATAAACAACATAAAAGAAGAAACTAATTATGACATGATAGAACCAGTGGCTAAAGAGTGGGTGAAACTATTAAGGAATAATAATGACTGCTTCCACTTAAGGAAGATATTGGATTTTCTGCTCCTGTTAACAAAATATTTGTAAGAGGTTGTTCATGTTATGAAGAATTTATGGACAGAAGAAAGAAACAGAATGAGATAGAACTTGTAAATTCATAATTAAATCTGATAGATTTCTGAAATATCGGGCATGGACTTTTGTGATTTTATTTTGAAATTGGAAACTCTAGCTACAGCAAGTACAAAAAAGTATTTAAGAAAAATGGAAATAATAATCATTGCTCTTTCTGAAAACACTAATGCCACTATGCCTATATGGTGATTGAACATATAGTATGTTGTTCTAAAAAAAGCTGCTAACACAGCACTCAATTAAATAGACCTCTATTATCCCAGTGTTCTGTTAACAGGAGTCCCACTAATGTAAAACAATTGAGAAAATAAAAGCATAGATAAAGGAGCAGTTTGCCCTCTTAAGCAAACTGCTCCTTTATCCATTGCTCTGTTAAGTGAACTTGACTTTATTGCTATCTGTATATTTCTAGAATTGGTATTATGAAAATAAAACTTGTTTAATAAGTGAAGTGTTCACTCACAGAATAATCCGACTAATCTTTTTGAAATAATCTGTTCTTAGGAAACACTGAGTAGTGCTGATACTTACAACCAGGGCCATAGAGGGTGGGCCAGAACTGGCTTAGCCATCCCTAGAAAATTTTTAGGCACCCTTTTTATTGATTTAAATGACAAAATTTTGTTTATACAATATCTTTGATTGCTTTGGTATTTAATTATTTAAAAACTATCAATCAAATAACTTTTTCACTTTTCAGAATACTTTGATGAATTTACATATCAACTTCAGGTCTACCTGTCATATCTAGATAAGTAGACTTGAAGTTGATCTGTAAAGCCATTCGAAAATGTTTGTCCAATCATCAAAAAAGTGTGCTGGAAAGTGAAAAGGTTGTTTGTATATTTTTTAATTATTTTCCAATTTATTTATATTAAAAAATAAATTCAATCGTTCTTTAATGTTTAAATTTAATATTTATGTACTGTACACATCACTGGTGATATGTTACAGTACTATTTAATAATAATAATAATAATAATAATAATAATAATCATTGTTTGTTTTGAGCAGTTTTGACGAAGTTGAGACAAGGAAGCCACCAAATTTAAATATGATTGGTTGTTGCATGTGATAATCTGTATCATCTTCATAGTAGTACTCTACAGTACATGTGAACGAGTATGAGTAGGGATGAGAGCTGTCAAACAATAGAGTTGTTTTTTTTTTATAAACAGGGTTTGATGCAAAATAAACTGTAAACTATGAAATTCTTATTTTAATTAAGATACACTAATACATTGCAGTATTATTTAATATTTATTATATTTATTGTACAATAATGGATAATAAAATTTTAATGAAGAATCAAAAATTTTGTCTTCACAATCTAATTTTTTTTTTAACTCTCTCCGTCCTGTGGGCACTAAGAGGGCCTCTGTTAGCAAGCCCATTATGGGTTTGGCCAGGCCCACAATGGGGCAGCTGGATGATGAGGGACGGGGCCCGACGGATCCGGACAGACCACCCCTTGAAAAATTCCTGGGGATTTTTTTAACCCATCTGGATTCAATCCCAGGTCTCTCAGATCAGTAGACTGCCACCTTAATGCTTGGCCGTCTGGCCATCCAGTCTGATGTTTCAATCACCATTAACAAAATTGGTTTCATTGCCAGATGATGATTTTAAATCAATTTTGTTATCTGATCACGTTTTTTGAGGAGATCAAAAGTATATCTGATCAAGTTTTTGTGGAAATATTAAATACTGTACTGTACATACATATTTCAATATAAATGAACAACTCAGTGTGTTGCAGAATTTTGAACCAAAACTTAAAAGATCACATTATTATAGACAAAATATGAAAACAGACAAAATGAAAGTCAATATTTGAACTCTCTTATCCAAATGTAAGATTTATTTTAACAGAAGTAAACAGCAGATTTAGCAACAACAGTAATCTGATTAATTGCTATTGCAGAAGACAAGATGTGTATATAGCAAAAATTAAATTTCTGGAAACACTGTAAAATTACCCTCAAAGAAACTTTTGTTAAAACTTTCATCAGGAAGCAGAAAAGAAAGAAAATTTAAATATTTTAAATACATTATTCAATTTAAAAAATTTCATTTCAAGAAAGCTATAATTTACTAGCAACATGTACAGTACAGTACTTGTAGAATCCATGGATGTGGTATTGCAACTTGTGAATCAATGTTCAATGTTTTAAAAAGAATAAATTGCCCACAAAGACAGTCAATGTATCATGAGTGGATTACAAATTTAATTTTATTTGCATTTGAAAAAGTCACACCAAAAATGTTATCAACACAATGCTACAGAAATTTAATGATAAAAAAGCAGATGACTGCAATTATGTTTAAATTATTCTTGTTTCTTATTTTCTATATTATACACTAAATAAAGAGCATTAAAAACAATGTTCATAAAAGTTTTTATTTCTAGTGTGTAAAGAATGATGTGTTTTTATTTTAATAAATAAATAATATATTTTTTATGAAACAAAATATAACTGTTTTAAAATATTCTATTACAATAATTAAAAAAAAATTGTAAACAAGGAATTGTGAGGTTCCAGGTCCGAACCCATCACTAAATTTTGCTTAAAAGCTTTCAATTTGGGAAAGGAATTTCAGAAGATAAACATAACGCGAAGAGAAAAAAAAATAGGTGTTAGTGTCGGACCGGAAAGACGAACTTTGGCTGGGGTTCTCGTAAATAAGACTCAATTACGGCGAACTCGGAAGTGCTATAAAATATTTCGATCAATAAATAATTATCGCGAGATTGTCTTATAGAAATTTGACAGGAGAGGAAATAAAACTTTTAGAAATACGTGCAAAAGTTTCAAGATGCATTTAAACATCCCGCCGGAGATCGAGATTCGATCTTTCTCGTGCCCCGGTTGAGTCTTGTTCTACCTGGAGACAAAGAAGGGGTCAATCAGGGACCAATTGTTTGGTCCGTGGCTAAAGTTTATAAACCCACATCTCAAAGTCGTTGCTCGTTTCTCTGTTCTAAAACCACGCTTCAACTTTTCATCTCGAACCGTGTATCGTCGATATACTTCTATTCGCTCGCATCAGTCCATCAACTCCAGCCCGTCTGAGGGACTCGGAAGAAAAATAGAGAACCGCCGTGCGACGAAGTATTCGATATTTCAAGAACTAAGTGACTCCTTTCATCCACCTCATAGCCACATCATCCCGGGCCCGGCGCCGACAGAGCCTCGCAGTGAACTTATAAACTGGTTATTGATCAATCGAAAGCAATGCTAACGGCCATTTCCTATTTGAGCAATACTCACTAATTAGCCTAATAAAACTTGTTATCTAATATACATCTATTAGGAATACTTTCTGTTTGAGTACTAACAATGCATGGGCAAGGACGGAACCAATTTTGTTGCAAATAACACGCATAGATCTTACAGTCTACGTTTGTAAGCGTTAATGGCCGAAAGTCGTGGACGGTAGTGCAGTTCGACTTGGGCAGAACAGAGCTGACCCAAGTTAATAAACTACCGGTTGAAGCGCGGGATATTTGCTTTTATAATATCCCCTCACATTCGCAGGAAATTGTTCTTTGACGTTTTCACCTGGCGTGCCGAGATGTCCTCCATTTTCTAGACACAATCCGACTCTTCTGCTCCTGTTGTTTGAAGCTGGAATTGATTAAAAATATCCTTAGTAATGGGGAGTAGTGAAGAGACACGTGACTTTTTTCAGTCCATACAAGATTTGGAGCTTGTTTCTGTATACAAGACCTATTGCTGCTCCCCAGAAAGTCTGGTGTTTTCAGACCTGGGAATCGTAGTGGCCACAGCCTTTTCGAAATTGTGTTTTTTCTAAAAGTGTTGTACAGTAGTGTTATTGAACTCCTAAATGTATGAGAAGTTGCGCCGTCTTGTTGAAAGTAGAGTTTGATTTGGTTTATTTGTATACGGCAACGCTTCGTGTCCGATCTGCCGAGGGAAATGCCTCCCGGGTGGACTTTTATGGAAAACTGGTACATAGGTATTACAACTGTGAAGAAAACCCGGATAACTCCACGTGGCCTTGTGCAACGGTGTCTCGTGCACCCCACGTGGTGCATAGTGTTTCGTAAACAAGTATGAGAATTGATTGATCCTGATAAGTGAAACAATGCTTCGTCTATAAAGAAATTCTTGTTGAGCACCTCGATTTCTCCATGTCCTAACTTGGAATTACTGGCAATATACCTTCGTTTTCTTATAATCTGTATGTTTTAACACCTGCTGCCCCACGATGTGGGTTCCTGTTCGTGGACTAGCGGAGAGATGGCAAAATATGTGGAACGCACAAATCCACAATAAAGTACTGTACATGAGATCAAACCTTTGATAGAAAATTGGACACATAATAAACAGTATGATAGGAGATCTAAGGTTATTCTTACTCGTCTGAGAATCGGACATACTTGGCTGACTCATCAATACCTTTTGAAAGGTGATGTCCAGCCAATATGCCAGTATTGTAATTGTACTCTAAGTGTTAAACACATACTAAGCAATTGTTCCGTTTTTGAGAGAAATCGTAGTCAACTTTTTAGAAATGTTTAGGATGACCATTGTCGCAGGTTCGACCATATTAAACTATTATAAAGTACGTCGAAAGATACTTTATAAACCTTACCGATAACGACGAATATAAACAGGAACTTGTTCATCTTCGCTTGTTAGTTCCGCTTCCGCTTTTCCTGGAGGTTTTCTCCGAAAGAATGCCGAAGACACTTTCTTCTTTCTTTCTTTCTTTCTTATTAATATGGAGACTGCCGAAGACATGTGACAGCTGGATGTCGATCGAAGTCGATGATGCTGCGCGTGGGAATGTTAAAATGTCCAATGGTGTAAATGTTTATTTAAATTTGCATAATTTGCTTCAGTATCTAATTCGAGCTCCTCCCGGGGCTAGACTTAAACTTGTAGGTTAAAATACGTAGAGTTCACTAGTTGTCCAATGGACAAAACCACCGAACACTAGTCGTAGCTTCTCCGGGTTATTCGAGTGTCTAACACCGAAATATCGGCCAGTTATCCGTACAAAGTTCTTTCAAAAGTCATCTCTTCCCTCATCCGCGTTGCATTATTGTATTAATCCTATGACATATAACAGGTTCTTCCTTTACCAAATATAGATACTTATATAAATGTCAAGATCTAAGTTCTGAACATATTACATGAGGCCTTAAACCAGGGGTGGCCAACCTTTTGCATACCATGCGCCAATTTTTTGATAGACGAGTTCAGATGCGCAGTGGCGTACCGTGAGTGTTAGCAGCCCGAGGCGGAGAAAAATTTCGGCCACCCGTTAATTAGGTACAGGTAACCCCCGTATAACACGGTAGTTACGTTCCAAAAAATTGCCGTGTTATGCGAATCCGTGTTATACGAAACAAAGAACTAATACGAAAAGGAGGGTTAGGTTCCTAAAATTAAAAAAAAAAACATGCTAGTATATTTTCATAATTAAGATAAATATCTTCATTAAAATTTTTTAAGTGATACATATTAATATAAATTAAACAATGTTTTCTTCGTCATCACTAAAAACACTATTAATTAACCGAGAGCGTTTTCTTTTTGGCAAGTTATCCTTATCCTCTGAG